GATCCTTTGATCCTTCCTCCTATTGTCTTTTCACTTTCTCCTTTAATGCTTTTTCTTCTGATCTGACTTTTTTTTTTTTTTTAACATTGCTTTGACAACACTTACTCTGTTCAACTCACCCCAAACATATACTTGCTTCTGTGTTAAAGAGTTATACTACGACATACTTAAATGAAGATGTGTTCCCCTGGCCCCATTTCAGCACTATCACTTATGGAAATCTCAAACCAATTAAGGTTTCAAACACAGCAGATCTATAGGTAGTAAAGAATTAATCTAGAATTATAGAGATCACCTAAACTAATAATTTACTGGAATTCGTTAATTTAAGATGCTAATCCAGTGGTAATAACACAGCGTCCAGGATGCTTCTATAGTCCTCAAAACAAGACATATTCAATGATAGTATAAGTTGTTTAGTGAAATGTTGTGAAAGACAGGACAAAGCCTTATTCTGATGCAATTATATGCAAAATTTAACATGCTATTACAAGCTGTAAATGTGACACTGAAAGAATGGTCAAAATACTTCTTGTAATATAAAATTAAATCAACTCAAGTATTTATTGAAAAAAAAATCATTTGCCTATACGCATTAAATAATTTTAATCAATTGACATTTGAGTGGTTTTTTTTTTAAGAAAAAAACTTTAAAAAGCAACACTAGAACAGAGATTAGAGGTTTGTGTTTAAGACTATTTTTTCCACTAAAACATTGCATGCCTTTGTTTAGGGAACCTCTCCATTAAACCCTAACCATTAAGTTGCATCAAAAGAAGTCCATGTCACATGTTGTGTGTACACACGCACAGTTACAGAACACACAAGCACAAAACATTAATATAACAATATCATCCAGAAACTCCCAACACAAACAACACACATTAGCATGCTGGCACACTCGGTGGCAAACCCTTTTCTTGCTGGGTAGACTCTATCACAGAAGAGATGCAGGATATTCATTGGTTCCAAATCCTATAATCATCCAACAAGACTCTGTTACAAATGAAGAGTTCATAACTTAAGCTTTAAGTTCACTTAACTAAAGCCATCACAGAAAATCATACCATTCTTACTATCTGGCCAAGAAGAGTTTTCTTCAAGTATTACACTCTTCAGGCTTGAGCACCATAATTACAAATAACTCCATCAAGAATGCATCCATAAATTGAACTACCATAGCTGTGTGGATCTGCTGCCCTAAAACCTACAGAGGGGTGCTTACAAAACCTACATATCATGGGAACAGAGGGTTACAGGCAGTATTTTCTTAAACTACAAATAATTAGTGCATCATGTTCCGAGTCCTAAATACGGAACAAATATTGACCTCTGATACATCTAAGAACCCTATTCAAAGACAGTCTATCTCAAGATTTTCCCAGATGATAAAATTTTGGACTTTGGATCACAGTTTTTGGTATTGACAAAGCTAATTCCTTCTTCTTTAAATACACTAACTATAAAAATAATGATTATGAAAAGCAAGCTAAATTGGTCCATGAGTGCAGGGAGCATGCAGAATCTCCCTCTATTTTGCAGCATTCTAGATTATTCCTACCTACTGTGTTATATTTGTTGCAGAGCACAGAATACCAGGTTGGAAGGGATCTCAAGAATCATGTGGTCCAACCTTTCTTGGTAAAAACATGGTCTAGACAAGATGGCTCAGCACTCCATTCATCTGAATCTTAAAAGTGTCCAATGTTGGGGAATCCACCACTTCCTGGGGAGGAATATTTCAAAGGCTGATTGCTATCATTGTGAAAAGTTTTTCCTGTTTCCAATCTCTCCAGGAATAACTTGTACCCATTACTCCCCGTCTTTTCTATGTGACTTCTTGTAAAAAGGGAGCCTCCATCTTCTTTGTAGTCACCCTTTAAATACTGGAACAAGGTGATAAGGTCTCTCCTAAGCCTTCTTTTCTCAAGGCTGAACAAATCCACTTTGCTCAGCCTTTCCTCGTATTGCAGGCTTCCCAGTCCTTTGATCATCTTTGTGGCCCTTCTCTGGTCCCTTGTACAGCAGGGACCAAAACCTAACACAGAATTCCGGGTGTGGCCTGACAAGCACTGAGTGAGATAATGACTTCTTTATCTCTACTGGCGGTGCCTTGTTGATGCAACTCAGCATCCTATAGGCCTTCTTTACTGTTCACTCATATTGAGCTGCTTGTACACCAGGACCCCCCGGTCCCTTACCACAGAGCTGCATCCTAGCTAGGCAGATCCCAGCGTCTGCTGCACTCCTGGGTTATGTTTTTCCAGGTGCAAGACCTTACACTTGTGCGTGTTGAACTTCATGAAGTTCTTGTTAGTCCACTCTTCCAGTCTATCTAAATCTTCCTGCAGGGTAGCTCTCCCTTCCAGTGCCCACTTCCCCACTCAGTTTGGTACCATTGGCAGACTTCATCAGGGTACACTTAAGCCCATCATCCAGATCACTTGCAAACACATTAAACAGCATTGGGCTCAATATCGATCCCTGGGGGACCTCACTTGTGACAGGCTGCCAGTTTCAAAAGGAACTATTTCCCACGTCCCTCTGGGTGCAGCCTGTCAGCAGTTTCTCATCCACCACAAAGACCAGGTAGACAACATCCACAGCTTGCTCCACATCAACCGAGCAGGTTACTTTGACATAGAAGGCAATCAGGTTTGTCAAGTATGATTTGCCCTTGATGAATCTGTGCTGGCTTTTCCCAATCACGTGCTTCATTTGACTTGTGATAGGCCTGAGGAGGATTCATTCCATCACTTTCCCAGCGAGTGAAGTAAGACTGATAGGCCTATAATTTCATGGATCCTCCTTTAAGCCCTTCTTGGAGATGGGGGCAACATTAGCATTCTTCCAAGTCTTCAGGAACATCCCTCATCTCCATGACTTCTCAAAGATTATGGAAAGCAGCCTCGCAATGACATCAGGCAGCTCTCTTAACAACTTGTGAGAAAAAGGCCTCAGGAATGTTTTAAATGATACAATGGCATGAAGAAAATATCACTACGTGCATGTAATTAAATAATATAGTATTTACATATAATAAGGCAGGCAGCATACAGAAAAAAAGGATAAAAAGAAAATCAATTAAGAACATTAAAATAAGTACAGAGAGAAAATAGTTGCTAGCAATTTATACATCAATACAGTTTATTAGCCATAGGAAAAAAAAAACACACAAGAAAACACAAAACCCAGTTACCTCTGTAACCATTATTTCACCACAATAATTTATAACCAAAAATATAGCAGATTTCCATGTGGCAGTGTAAACACTTTGTCTCTCACTACTTGGAATAGAACCTTTGACATTACTTACCTTTGCTGAATTTTTATTTCCTATGCAGTGGAGAATTGACTTGTCAGAGAGAGAGGAACATAAAAGCTTTAGATTGGCAACTGTTATGATTCATCATTACTTCTAGTGCATTAGAAAAACCTCAAATGAAATCAAAACTTTTAAGAGTTCTAGCTCAAACCAAGGGAGAAGAGTAGCTTCTATTTTTATTGTTTTTAGAAATGGCATGGTCAGTATCCCACACTCAAGTTCAGAAAAATAGGTCAAAATATTATCAAGTCCTAATTCTATTTCCAGAACCACAAGTCTTTTCAAAATGTGCATTCTATAAACAGTAACACTCAGAGAAGGAAAACAACAGAACCTGCGTAAAAATTAATTTATCCAGGGAATGTTTGTATTTCAGCTAACCCAATTCCATCTCTAAACAAGATCTGTTTTTTTTTAGCAATGCACGAGAAAATTCCTTATAAACATGCTCTCAATTACACAGTTAACCTATTACTGGAACAATGGTAAACTGCTGAGTTAACAACAGCAGTACAAAGTCTAAATTTGTTTAAGTGTTGCATTAACCATGTTGTCCTAGGCAATGTCCAACTTCCCCATCATTTCAAATCTTTGGAAATACAATTATTGTCATCTTCCACATGATCTACGACGTCCAATAAAAATTTCATGTTGAGGATTTAATAAACAAAGCAGAGACAACACATATATTTATTCCTTAATATTTGTCATCTTTGTGATACTAATTTCCTCTCTGTCAAACATTTTCTCCTGGAAATATAAAATAATTTAATTTAATTTAAAAGCCTCACAGGATAAAAGAACAGAAAAATGAACAAAAAAATGCTTCAGAAACAGTTGTGCTAGAAGAGCAAAACTGTAAAAGAAGGTGAATAGACCAGTTGCAACACAGATAAGAACTTCAACTAGGCAGTCAAAGACCTTTTGAGCAACAGAATAAAGAAGCCTCTCGATTCAGTACAGTGCGTTCATTTGTCTTCCATAGAAACTGAGCTGTCTGTCATCACAACTGCTTTACACTTTTATCTGAGCTCACATAACAAACATTTGATTCTCTTCATTTCCTGATATTTGGCTGAAACAAACTCTTGAGGTAAGTCCTAAGTTCTCCTTTGAAGAGAGAACGAAAATACTGAAGAATATGTACTATTAGAACAGCAATCTCCTAAGCAGTTCAATTCTTTTGATGGAAGACCCTGAAGCACTAGTAAATCAACTGTGAAAAAGGTCGTATAGAATGCAGAGAAAACTTTCCTATTTTATTTCTTCCTGAGAAACCCATTGAACCTGCATGAATAGGTAAATGTCTGCAGCCAAAACCGAGCACGCACTTGTATCCTATTCCCCTGAAACAGAAAAGCACCATCTTACACATCGAACTAAGCAAAAGCATTCCATGATCAAAAAAGTGTGTGTGGTGTGAAAAAAAATCATCTGTGTGCAAGAAATCACATTAAGATTTCTGTCTCATTTAAGCTCCTCTTAAAATTGACTTAAATTAATTTTAAATGATCTGTACTTTGTTTGTTTGTGTTTCAGATAAGGGGTAGAATTAACACAGACAGAGATCAGATTTGGAGTCAGGATCTATTGAGAGAGCCATTCTGTCTTTCAAGGCAAAACACAAAAGTTAAGTACATTAAAATTACCAATCACTAAACAAACAAGTACATACCCAAACCTTCTGACTCAAACAGGCAGGTATCATCCACCCCTACATCTCTGCACCAGGCTAAGAAATTTGCAGTGTTGTCCCGTGCAAAAAAAGACCCTGAAGGAGCATTGGCTTTGCATGGAATCTTCCGTACTGGTAAGATCTGAAAAACAGAAATTCTTTATTGAGATAAATGATACAAGCTAGCATAATACTTCGGTATTATGAAATCAAAATACAGGTTTTGCATAGATGGGTGACTACCACCAATGTACTTCCTTGTCCATTAAAGAATTCCAAGCAAAGAAGAATGAGAAGTGAGTTTAACAGCATGAAGTTGTCAACCATAAAGGCTTTACAAAAGCATCGTGATAGACTATGCGATGTGAAGTTCAGTGCTGAATCAGTATTAGCAACTTCTTAGGAATATCAGCAACTAAAATTTTGGGATTTAGTGTTTGGTCCAGTTCACTGAATTTGGCAGGGGATGGGGGTGGTGGTGTCAGAAAAATTTTACAAGGACAGACTTTAAACTAGGAACTGAACTTTCCCCAAATTAAGGGAGAATTAGTTTCAGAACTACATTAGGAGAGAATCATAGCGTAAAACAATAGGTCTTGAGGTCTAAAGATCATAAACACTTCAGAGAGGCCATTGTCTCTCTGACAACACATGGAAGCCTCGTATCCACAACCCAGAAATGTGATCTAGTAGCTACAAGATCAAGGTCCAACACAGAGCTGGGCTCTCACTGTACCAGAGTAGTTCCATTTACAGAATTTTGATATCAGAGGAGATGCTACTGATTTAACATATCAATATCTGAATCAACCAGAGTAATTACCACAGTGAGCTTTTTGCCTGTATCAGTACATTTACTGAGACACATACAAAGAATACTTTAGCATTTAGTTCTCATTTAAGGTTTCTTTTCCTCAAATGAAAAATAGCCACCATCCACAGCAAAATTAAGAAAGAATAAAAAACCCTGTTATTATGTAACTTCAGAAATCTCTAAATCATGGAGGAATTCACACCCCATGTCAATTTGAATTGCTTTAGAAATATACACCTGCCTTATTAATGTTTAGACCTATTCCTCAGATCACCATCTAGCTCTCATTCCTCTATAATTCTTATTTCAATTGCACTTTTTTACAGTTATTTCCTTGTTTTGCAAAAATGATGCTTATGTTTCAAAATACTTAAAAGGAGATAATAATACTTTTCTATATTGTAGTCTCAAACACTGAACAGTTTTACATGGTATTTTAAAGAAAAACCCAAGTAAATTTTGTGTTGTAGACATCATATGACCTCCTAGACCATCCTGGAATTAGAGATGGGAAGAAGGAAGAAAGGAGGGAAGGATACATGAGTATTCAATAAATCCAGTACAAGTAAAAACCAGTGAAACTTGAATTCTTCCAAGGGGCTCTAGATACAGGACAACTTTACAGAGATCAGAGCACAATGAAGTTGTTAACCATTATTTTAATCCATTCTTCTGGAAGAAAAAAAATAAAATTAAATTTAAAAATGCTCTGCTCCTCACAGACCAGGGTTGTTTGTCTTTTTTTTAAACAAACAAAAACCCCCACATATCTCCAGACCAGCACTCTTCTCACGTCACATTAACTTCTTCAAAGAAACAATGAGCATCTGTAACCTGAGGCACATTCTCATTATACTCTACAGACTGCTTCACACGTAGAATTCCCCCTTGTGACTTACAGCCTTTAGGAAGAAGTAATGAATTTGTCCATTTCTGCCCCCCTCTACATCCTTTCTCAGGAGATTTTAATTGGACAAGTCTAATAGTCTTAAAAGAGCACTCACTTCTGTTAAAAGGAGTTACACAAAATTCTCTAGCAGTCTGCTGCAGGAAGGTCATCCAGTTCAGTCTGCATTCAGAGAAAAGCTGTCAAAACAAGTCTTTTGTTTCATGATCATCTACTAAAATCTTACACAAAACATTGCAAAAAGCTTCAAGAAGTTCTTTCTTCAAAATAATTTCCACAGCGAAGATCTAACCTGACCTTATTTCCTCCAGGGCAGAACAGGAACAAGCAGTGTGGGCAGGGATGTTCAGCTGCTAACAACAGTATGGAACAAGATGGGAAACTAGCAGAGAGCAGCAAGAGTCGAGCTGCTTCATGAGGGAAGATAAGCCAGGAGCCAAGGGTGACCCCAGCACAGGCAGTGGCAGCCTTCACTGGCAGTGGTGCAAGTCCCACAGCACCCGAGTAAGGTAGTGCTGGTGATGTAACAGCTTTAGCCAACTGACTTGTGACAAGATGAGGTGACAAGTCAGATCTAGCTCTATCTGGGAAGACAAATCAGAAATAGCAGAAGACAAGGTTGGATGCAAGGCTACAGCAGAGGCTGAGGCTCCAGCCATGAAGCCCAGTCAGCAGCAAGCAAGGCCGGAGATGGTCTGTCCACAATGTGGCTCGGGCAAGAAGCAGGGCTGAGGTCAAAGGGAGCTCCTGAGCCATGAGAAGAGAGTGCAAGTTTGGGTCCTAGATGAGACTGGTCACAACTATTAAGATATTTTGGTCCCCTCAGGTCCTGATAGCAACTATTCTGTGTTTTTTAGTGCTTCAGAAATACATAGCTAGGATTCAGGAGTGTTGGTTGATGAGAAGGTCAACAGGAGTCAGCTTTGTGCGCTTGCAGCCCAGAAAGTCAACCGTATCCTGGGCTGCATCCAAAGAAGTGCGGTCAGCAGATCAAGGGAGGTGATTCTCCCTCTCTGTTCTGCTCTTGTGAGAACCTACTGGCAGTACTGCTTCAGCTCTGGGGACCCCAATAGAAGGAGAACATGGACCTGTTGGAGCCAGTCCAAAGGAGGGCCACAAAGATGATCCGAGGGCTGAAGCATCTGTTGTATGAAGGCAGGCTGAGAGACTTGGGGTTGTTCAGCCTGGAGAAGAGAATGCTCCGGTCAGACCTTCTAGCAGCCTGCCAGCCCCTAAAGGGGGCCTACAAGAAAGCTGGAGAGGGGCTTTTTACAAGGGCATGTAGTGATAGGACAAGGGGCAATGGCTTTAAACTGAAAGACGATAGGTTTCTATTAGCTCTAAGGAAAAAATTCTTCACTCTGAGGGTGGTGAGGCACTGGAACAGGTTGCCAAGGTAAGTTGTGGATGACATCCCTGGAAGCACTCAAGGCCAGGTTGGATGGGGCTTTGAGCAATATGATCTAGTGGAACGTGTCTCTGCCCATGACAGGGGGGTTGGAACTAGATCATCTTTAAGGTCTCTTCCAATCCAAACAACTCTATGATTCTATGATAATCAACTCTATCTTGTCAGTAGATTTCAAAGAGGTGCCATTTCATAGCACTGTATCTTAATCTAACTACATAAAACATCCAACGTACATACAACATACTTCATCATATTCTCACAGAACCAAATTACCAGCAGATATAAATTGGTTTAACACCATTAATATCAAATAGAATGAAATTCTTTTCCCTTAATACCTCTGCTTGGACTAGAGTATCTGAGGTGATACCTGGATGTTGAACCAACTGAGTTAACAGGTCAAAGTAAGGAGATCAAACAAATTATATCTGACCAAACTATACTCTTTGGAATTTTTGGATGATTACATCCAATTTAGGGCACAAATCCTGGATGACCTTATAATGGATTAGCAGCACTGTCACAGGAACAAGATGACAAGAAGCCAGCTCCAGTATTCCTGGCACTTGCAGGCTTGCGCGTTAAGCTACTTCTCATAGAAAGGAGATAACACTAGAGTTATTTTCTTTGGAAAGTAGGCCTGCAGTGTCAAATCATGTGACCTCCCAGTTCACTCTTCAGTTCTCATCTCTGAATTTTCCACAGCACCCGTATATTACTTTGCTCTCGGACTCTCCTTTGCAGAAAACTAGCAAGTCTTCTCCAAGACAAAAACTCTTTACAACCCCAGGAACAGCTTGGAAGGGCATTATGGGTGAAATCACACCAGGTATGTTTCCTTCCACTCGTTTCTCCAACTCCAGCCCTGATGATTCCATGTCTTTAAACTACTCTGTCTTGTCACATCCCCTGATATCCAGCCTATATTCATTCATGTCGTGCTAAGAGTACTAAACACTGTTTTGGAATTCGTGATAAAATACTCATATTATTTGAGGAAATTTGAACTAGAGGAAAAAAAAAACATAAAGAGAGAAATATTGTGCTATAAGGCTGGTGGATACCATCTGGCAATCAGAGGAGACCTGGGTCCAGCATGGGCACAACCAATCTGCTCTAGTCAGCCCCGAGCCCACAGGGCAACAGCAAGTCTGCGGCACTGGTCCTGGAAAGCAGAAGCTGCTCCTTGGCACAGATGCCCTCAGCAGTACAAAAGCAGCTAGAAGCAAGGAGACAGCCAGGAGAACCTGCCCAGCCTTTCTTTTATGGGCTACTGGGAAGGCATTGAAATGCCTGGCAGCAATGCAGAGAACGAGTTTTCCCCAGGGTCACTGCTGCTCCCAGTACTAAAAATACATGAATAAATCTGGTTCTGAATATTTCATGTCTTCTGATTTAGGTAGATCACAATGACTGAATATAGAAATGCTTTCAAGAAAAGCAATTCAGAACAGATGGTTTATGTGTCAGAAATCTATGGAGTTAGAGTCAGCAAATAAACCATTTAAAACTTCACGTACGTAATAGACTATCCATAAATTACACTTCTATACCTCAACAACTAAGACAGACCTTTAAACACATCAGTCAACCTAGCTGCACTGTGAAACTTAGACACTCATGGAGCTTGCAACATTTCTTTTACAATTATGAAGATTACAGTGTCTTTTAGAAGCACGTTTTTGTAGTAACAGCTACTGACAGCAAATTGTAAGTCTAGGTACAGAACTACCACACTTAACTAATCAAACTTCTGATGTTCTCTAGTTTCATAGTGAAAGAAAAATCATCTGATTAATGGATGCCCCAAACAACTCAGAAGTGAGAAAGACCCAAATGTAAAAACAAGGCATGTCCTGGACTACAAAAGGGGAAAAAACAACATTATTGAAGGGGCAGGTGGAAGAGGGGGAAGCTTTAAGTCATTTTACAGAACAAATACTACACAGATAAATACCCCTAGCATCACATGATGTCGTCAAAATGTAGCATTCTATATTTCATCTCATT